GATGAGGGCAGGGAAAAATAACAGCCATCACTTGTTGGGGTGGTGACCAGTGTGTGGCCTGCAGCCCATCCACACAAGTGGACATCGTGGGCACACCCCGGCCAGAACGTACCAATGTTTTGCCTCCCTGGATCCCCTGTATTCTGCTTTGACTTGCTCTGGTCACCTCTGGGATTTGTGCTGTCTGCTCTGGGATAGGCTCTAGGGTGACAGTGAGGGTCACAGCAATTGAGAGACAGTGGCTATCTGTGTAGTAAGGGAGGGCTGTCTTCAGGTCATGGAAGATGGCATGGGTGTCCCCAGGAGAGGTGCAAGGGCACTGTCTCACAGGCTTAGGGTTCACTGATGACACGTGGGCAGCAGGGGTGGGCTCTTGGCAGGTAGTGGAAGTCAATCTCCTTCTCTCTCAACTTGCTGAAAGCCCGCAGAGTGTCACTAACTCTTGTAAAAAGAAGTGTGATAAGGAAAGGCAGCTCTCCATACACCATGGCTCTTGGCAACCTCTTCTTCATGCGACTTAAGGTTCTGGGTAGCTTTTTCCTCTATCTTCTTTTGTCTCACTGGGAGATGTTCTTGAATCCAAATCACAGTTAGAGCTTTTTGAAATGGTAGTGTTTCTTGGGAAAGCAAGAGGACCTGGGATTAAGGGGCAGCTGTGTACAGGAGAGAGCACATGCCTAGAGGCCTCCGAGGTCCTCCCTACATGTGCACTGGCTTAGCCTTAACCAGCACGGGCCTGAGCATCTGTTATAGTGGGATGAACCTGTGGCACGTGTTACTGTGTTTTCTTTTAAAAGAAAAAGATTTCATGTGTGAGTCATTTTTTTCTAAACTCAAACTTAAGTATTGAGGTTAAATTGCAGTGTTGGTACTCTGTGATAAATAAGTGTGTTTTGGGTTTCAGTTTGGGCACTGGTTTCTAAAAGACTGGCCATCACTGATGAAATGAACAAAGGCCAGCAGGACATGGTGTCACTGCTGTTAATCTCAGCACTCTGGGTGGCTGAGGCAGGAGAACTGCAATACTGAGCCCTGCTGGGGGAATTTAGCCACTTAAGACTCTGGTACAAAAAAAAAAAAATCCAGAAACAAAACAAAAACCAAACAAACAAACAAACAAACAAAAAAAAAAAAAAGAAAAAAGAAAGAAAAAGAAAAGACTGGGGGTGTAGCTCAGTACAAAGACCCTGGGTTCAGATCCCAGTACCAAAAACTAAAAGCAAAAATACATCTCCAAAAACAAAAATATAAACAAACCGAGAAAGAGGAAAACAACAAAGACCAAAAGTACAGCCTGCACACTGGGCCCATGCCAGTTGGTAGGTGCCTTAGGATATACAATGCCAGTCATAGTTTTCCCCTGGAAAGGGACCTAGGGATCTTCTTTCTGGTTTATGTCAGAGGGTGGCAGCATCCCAGGGGAGACCCAGCCCCAGCTGCATTCTAGGTTGGGCAGTGATGCATCTGCAGTAGTACAGTGGATGGGCCTGCCAGGGCATGAGTGATGACTGTAAGGATTTGGAGAAAGTCCAGACCTCTTCCTGCCAAACTCCTAGCTTCCTGTCTTCTTTACTCCCAACATCCATGTTATACCTATTTCATTGTGAGCTTTCATTTCTAACTTATTTTTCTATATTTCATTCAGCTCATGTGAGCACCAGTGACCATGGTCCACAGAGGAAGAAGAAGTGTGTCACCGACAGAGCCTCTGCAACTCTGCTAGTAAATGGTGCAACTGGGGCTCACACGTGTGCGTAACACCGAGCCTGGTGCTCTGCACCCTACATGCTCAGAAGCTTCCTCTTTCGAAGTGCAGCTTGGCTGTCAGTTGGCCTCCAGCAAGCAGCACGATGACATCTTCAGAGACTCAACGTTCAGGAACTTTGTGTAAGCCTTCAGCAGAACCAGCAAGTCATTCTGAGTCTCCCGGGAGAGGATCAAATTAGCAGATGCTCCTCTGCTTCTGGGTCCCTGAGCTCTTGCCTTTCAAAGAAAGATCTGCTCCCTGCTCACAGTGTGGCCAGAACCCTGGGCTCTGACTTCTGGGATGTGGGCCTCCCAAAAGACCCTTCCCCAGAGATTGAGGAGCAGGGCTGGCCGCTGGGTTTCCATGTGCGGGGATGGCTTCTCCCTTCGTTATCGGGGCCATCTGCTTCTATGCATGGTATTTTTGGGGTGATAGGGATAAGATTCCAGGCTGGGCTCTTGAGCATAACTCTGAGATGTATACTGCCAAGCCAGTCTCCCAAGAGGAACGGCTACCTCTGTCACACCCTCCAAAGCTAAGGAATCAAGGCCACCAACTAAAGCAACCATGTAGGGAGCAAGAGGTTGTCACCATTACTGCTGTCACCCCACTCCCACCAAGGCCTCACAACACCCATGAATCTAGGGAACAGGTGCTGCAATATTGTTGTGAAAGGAAAGCCATTGTCCTTCCCAAATGCTCCTGCTCTAATTGTTTATGACCTTCCTGCACAGTGGAAAACATCAGGGCAGTAGGAGGGTAGTTTCTATCTCACATTCACTTTTCAGATCTCACCAGCTCATCTGCTGATAAAGTATAATTCACACCCAAAACAATAGCTGCAAGAGAGACTGGGAGTTGTGGTTTTAAATCTTCTGGGTACTGGAATGTAACAGCAATGAAGGGTGACTGCCAAAAGTTCAACCATTATGTCTACCATATAGCTAGACAGAACAAAATATGGAATACTGACAAATACTCTAAAGATTTTCAGTTGATTTTACTTAAATTTTATGTGATAAAGTTTTAAAAAGAAACATGTCACTAACGTTTATAGGCATAGTCATATTTTCTGAGAATCCTTTTCGCTATTGGAAGGATGAATTCTTCCCACCAGTATCTTTGCAGTATTCAGGGGATTTCTCATGCATTAGGATATATTAATATGTGAAGGCGGGCCAGATGGCTCAGCAAACTAAAGCATCTGCTTCAGCAGAGTGCAGCGGCCGGGGTTCAATCCCTGGTGTGCCGTGCCAGCCCTGCCCCTGGGGTGCACTGAGATGGCAATTGAGACTGGGCATGGTGGTGCGCACCTGTGATCCCAGCGCTTGGGAGGCTGTAAATAGGAGAATCACTACCAGTCCGATCTACATCGTGAGACTCTTTACACCCTGTAGACCCTGTCCTAAATTCATAAAAAAGATATGTTAATATCTGTATATGTTATCTTAAAAAGAACAATTCATGTTTTTAAATTATAGAAACAATAAAAAGTCTGAAATAATAGAAACAGTTTAAGCCTGAGAAACAGAGTCGAGTTCCCTACAACCCTGTCACTGTCACTGTATTCATTTCACTTTTCTCTTGTATGACTAGTTTATAGTATTGCATTTTGGTTTTCACCGATTATATGAATCATCCCTTATGTTATTGAATCGAACGAGACCATGCTCTTTAATGGTGGCGTAATGTTTCACTAATACACTTATCATAATTTATGTAGCCCTTCCTCTCTGGTTCAATGCTTTGGTTGCTGCTAATAATTTACTACGACAAGTAACAGTCTGGAAAAGAGCTTCATGCACAGTCAGGCTTTTGTGTCCCATTCCAGAAGCAGGACATGGGGTTGGGGTTCATACATCCTGACTAAAGGGCATCTTTTTTTTTTTTTTTTTTTTTTTTTTTTTTTAATTTTGAGACAGGATCTTGCTAAGACTTCACACTTGTTATTTTCCTGCCTAAGCCTTGAAGAATGCTGGGATTACAGGCATGCAGCACCAAATCCAGTTTGGGACATCCATTTTTAAATGAGTACCAACAACTTTGGATCAACATATCTTCCAAATCACCCTTGACAAAAGTAGCTGGCTTTTTTCCTTTAGCTATCACTAAACTAAGCTTGCTTTACCACTTTCTTAGCACCCACTTTGGGAACCACTATGGGCAGTTACACAGAATGGAAATTAGGGCCCTTAGCCTTGAAGCCTGTTGGCCTCTTCTGATGCACAAACACTGTAGACTGTGCACACCTCTGAGAGCTGTCTGGGGCACCACCAGGACTCTGGCAGGTGATGCACCTTCAGAGACTGCCCAGCTTTTCTGAGCAGAGACCTTGTCCAGGTAAGGCAGGTGCTGCAGAGGTTGATCAGCCCCTGGGGTCCTCAGCATGGGAACACACACACCTCCACGGGAGGCTCTCTTGCTTTCTGATGCTCTTTCCTCTGTCAGAGCAAGGCCAGGGTACTATCAATCAAGCCGGGAGGATGATGTTGAAGAGGGGAGACCAGAGTCTAAAAGACAGGCAGATCTGATCTCTGAAGACCTTCAAACCCGAAGAAAATGTGCAGGTGGTGCTAACTGGAGGGTCCCATCCTGGCTATCTTTGTCTTGTTCAAACTCCAGCAGGGAGGAGCTCTTCCACCTGGCTTTTTGGGAGATGGAAAAGGGGCGCACACACCCAGATCTTCATAGTATATTTTCAGTGAAAGAAACAAGTTCACATAAAACCCTCTCCCAACAAAGCCAACTAGAACAGGCGGGGCCCTTGCGTTTTAACTGATCCTTGCGTGGTATGTCATGAGAGGTGCACCCGGACACCGAGATGTGTCTTCAGTTCTAGAACGTTCTAACCTCTCCCCTATCCAACCACCCTAACTGCTTTGTAACTGACATTCCCAGCAACACCCCTCGGCTCCCCCTCTTTCTCAGGCCTTAGGAATGCCAGAGCTTGCTCAACAACGCTGTTTGCAAAGCCACCGGTTCTGAAGGGTGGGTTTTCCCGGAGCTGCTATTCCTGATCTCTCTCCACCTCTGGGAAGCTCCCCTCTGCCGCCAGGCTGGCCTTCCGCAGGGTCTATTTCCCGCCTGCCCCTCGCGGGCCAGCACCAACCACCCTCTAGTCGCCCAACTTCCCAGGACACCCCAACGACCACTCTCGCCCCCATCCGGTGGCTCCGAAAAGCGCGGATGGCAGTGACGTCACAGGGGAGGCGGGCGCGCACTCCCCGCGCACCAATGGCGCGGCCGCAGTGGGCCTCTTCCTTTCCTGCCATTGGTGGCTCTGGCCCCTCCGCTCCGCCCCAGCCCGCCATGGCGTCAGCGGCCGCGGCCCCGGGGAGGAGGTTCCCGCTTTAAGAAGTGAAGTTTTCCGCCCCCTCCCCCTCCCTGCCCACCTCCTGCAGCCTCCCGCGCCCTGCGGGGCCGGTGGATGGAGCTGCGCCGTGGCGGCGTGGGCAGCCAGGCTGCGGTGCGGAGGATGGATGGGGACAGCCGAGATGGCGGCGGCGGCGGCAAGGACGCCGGGTCGGAGGACTACGAGAACCTGCCGACCAGCGCCTCCGTTTCCACGCACATGACAGCCGGAGCGCTGGCCGGGATCTTGGAGCATTCAGTCATGTACCCGGTGGACTCGGTGAAGGTGAGGCGCGGGTAGACTCGAGGGACACGGGAGCGGGGTCGGGGCGCCTGCTTGCATCCGCGCAGACAGCAGGGGCAGCGCCCCGAAACCACGCCGTGCCCGGGCGCCTGCGGCGGGGGGCCGAAGTCACAACCCGGGCGGTGGGGGAGCGCCGCGCCGCTCCTTCTGCTGTGAGCCGGGAACCCAGGGTGCCCCAGACTCCGCTAAGGAGCCGAAGCCCGCGCCCCGCACCTCTGCTCCCGCACACGGCCCGGCGGCGCAGCGGCAGGGAGAACCAGTGGGACTGGAGCCTGGGGGGCTGCCGTGCTCCGCGGGGGGCGTCGCCGCGGCTTTCCTGGATCTCCACGCCGGCCGTGCGCTGTGGCCCGGGCTGCACACACGTGCGCAGTTTCCGAGCTCGCTCGCGGTGGGAAGCGCTAACCACGCTCGGCCTGGCAAACTTGGCCCCAGCCTGGCCGCACGCCCCCTGGGACCAGCGTGTGCCTGCTGCTGCCAGGTAGGGGCCCTTCTGGGGGTGCTTTTGGGTGTATTGCCTTGCCCCTCCTTCCCCGAGTGCCGGCAGCTGAGCACCTGCTAGGCAGGGAGACCTACAGTGACGTTAGCTTTTCCTTTTACTTGCTGGGAGGCCGGCAGGGGAAGCTAGCTCTCTGGGAACCTCACCTTGGGTTGTGTAATGGACACTCAGTTTGGCCTGGTCAGCTCCTCAGATAGTTTCACGTGCATTTCCCTAAGGCACGCCTTCAGCAGGTGGGATTTACTTGTTAGACAGCGATCTGTCCAGGACAGTGACTGGCAGGGGACTGAAAGATTCAGGAAGTAATGTCAGTACCTTATAGTTACACAGGGCTCCCTCATGGACTGCGCATCTAGTGAACAGGGCAGTCCTGGGAGTTAACAGCGGAACAGACTGAGGCACAGAGAGGTGAATGGATTAGCTCGCCCTGACTCAAAGCCGGCTGAATCCTTTTGGCTGTAGTGACAGTGTGCTTTGAGGGAAACTTAGAGGCCTCTCTAGGTGGCAGGGCCACCCTATCTTGTAGGGCAGAGCCCCCAGAGCTCCCCCATCAGCAGCTACATATATCTTATCGCTGACTGCAGCCCAGAGGAGCAGGTGTGAAGACCAGAATGTTTAACTCTGAGGGTTTTATCAGAGCTGGCAGTCAGTGGTTGGACAGGCTATGTCCCGTGCCACAGACACTGATGGTGAAGTGAGTGAGGCCTGTCTGCTAGTGTACTGCTGGACCTGAGTCATCACCCCTTCTGGCCCTCCAGTGTCCCAAAGGGGAATTAGAGGAATGATCCTTGGCCTGCCACTGTTAGCTGGAGAGTGAGGCAGACCTGTTCTTTAGGTCTTCAGGGTTCCTGCAGAAAAGACCTGACAGATACTGGTTGGCACTGATACAGTAGGAAAGAAGCTTTTCAGAGTAATAACATTTCCTGTATTTGAAGCTGTTGTCTCAAATGCCCTGGTCAGAGTCTGGGGAAAGTTAAGAGCACAGAGGTGTAATTTGAGCAAGCTCCAGTCCCACTGGTATCCAGGAGATGCGGCCCATCAGAGGAATCCACCACCACTTGGGCGTGTCTGCAGTGAGTCGGTGCTGACCCTTACTTTAGCTTATGTTTAGGATCAGGAGTAATTAGCCTTTTGAGCTCCCTTTGCCACTCGAGGCTTTTGTCTTGTGTTAAACTCATATGCTGTCTGCATTTATTTCCCCTAGCTCCTCTTCCTGCCACCTAAACATTGGTATGTTTGGCTTCAGACCTGACCTGTGTGCTTAGTATTGCCTTCGGAAGCAGTTTCGACTGATGGATGCCTTAGCATGGCATGTGAGCTGGGAGGAGCAGAGCTGGCTGTTCATAAACAACTCATTTTACCTTATGGGGCTGTCAATAAAATGAGAACTCAAGCTTGCTAGCCAGCAAGTTCTAGTTCTGGGATTTTTGACTCTGACCTCTAACACCCCATTGGGGCTCTGCTATTCTTATGTGTGTGCAGGGTTGGCTGTAAAGCACCTCTGTTTTCTCCTGCAGTTTTCTTGGAAGGGATAGCAAGGACTTTTCTCTCCAGTTTTCAGCAGAGACAAAAGGTACAGAGAGTACCTTTTGAGATTTACTGGTTAGAGAACTGTCTGCCCAGGACGGTGAATGCCAGGGGATTGAGAGGCGCAGGAAGTAATGTGAGTATTGATTATTACACAGGGCACTGTCCTGAACAGAGCTTATCTCACGCGTGGCTCGGTCCTGGGAGCTAAGTGGCACTGGCAAAGGTTGCATGAGCCCAGGGAGGTAGCAGCTGAGTGCTGAGATCTACTCAGATGAGCACATTTATGCCCATCATGAGGTGACAGGCCCATGCCTCAGCGATGGAAATGCGTTACTCCAGGAGGCCACAGCTGTGCTTCTCTGAAATATTTTGGATGGTGAAAAGGGTGTGCAGTTGAGTCAGACCACCTGGATTGGGTTGCCAGCCCTTACTTGCTGCGTGCTCTGAATACTATTCTGCGCTTAAAATTTTTGTGTTTGTGTTTGTTTATTCTTAATGGCTATTTAAGACAGGGCTAGTCTATGTGGCTCAGGCTGCCCTTCAGCTCACTATATAGTCCAGGCTGGTCTCCAACTTGTGGCGATCCTCCTGCCTCAGGAGGCTGAGGCAGCGCACACTTAATCACACCTGTGTACCACCATACCTAGCCATGTGTCTCTTAGTTTTAGAGTCACTGGTCAGTGGACACTATGTGCCAGTTCAGGGTTTCTCTACACCTAACCCATCCTTGTTTCTTTGCACACAGAACATCTGTTGTCCTTTTATGCTTGAAACTTGAAAATAATTATTACAATGGAGACCAAATCAATGTAACTTGTATCTTGGAAGGAAAAGGAAGTTTGCTTGTGAAGCTATGCAGTTCCACTTTGGGCTTGTAATTGTGACACGAGAGTGTAGAGCCCGCCTGTTCCTTCAGTTTGCCTATGCCAGGAAGGCATGTGCCATAGGACACAAAGCCAGCACCGGTCCCTTTCAGCCCTGAGTCTGCTGAGCTCCTTGCTTCTGTGGTCCTAAGTGCAGAAGGGCAGGGTTGTTGATGCTTACAGTTACAATGTTGAAGTTTCAGTTTCCAGATGTCACTTCAATGACCAGTGTTTTCCCAACTGTAGGTGGTGACCCATACATGGGCTCAACTTTTTAAAAGAGATTGACAGCATATAAAATGGGAACCTGCATGGCGCTCATGGGAAGGACATGTGGACTGCTGAAATTCCATCTGGGCTGTGTATGTTTCCCTGGTGGTGCTGTGCAGTACACTCTTAGCTGGGGATTGTTGCAGCCCAGGAGTATGGAGAGCGGCAGAGGGATACTCAGCAGCAAGCACAGGGTCTCTCTACCCACAGCAGGTGTGAACTTCTCCTCCACTAGCTGGGACACAGGAGCAGTTCTCCAGGAACCCCTAACTGCTGTTGGAAAGTGGCAAGTGGCATGGTGGCCCAGACCAGCCTTTGGGGCAGAGCGAGCACCCTGGTGGGGTCAGCAGTGCTCAGGGCTGTGGGGAGGCTCGCCAGGTGGGTGGAGGAGGAAATTCCAACCGGATTAGGCACACCACTGGCGGACCATGTGGAGTCTGCTGTGGTGAAAGCAGGGGCAAGAGGAAACAGGAAAGATTTGAAGTGGGGAACTTCCGCTCACCCTCTCACAGCCCTTCTTCTGCCCAGCTGGCCTGTCCGGGAAGCCCTGCCCTCTAACTCTGCTAGGATGAGCCCTCCTGCCCAGCCCAGCCCAGCCCAACCCAGTCCAGCCCAGCCCAGCCCAGCCCGGGCTCAGCAGGAACATGAGCACTGCCCAGCTCATGGCCCTGGCCTTGGGTGCCAGTGGCTGCAGAGCCTCTGAACTCCTGGTTGGGTGGGAGAGCACACGGACGTCCACAGCCAGCCCCATGGGGCCTGGGTGGTGCTGGGTCAGGCAGGTGGTGGGCTGGGCCACTTTGCACTCTGTGTCCGACCCTCTACCCCCTCCTGCCCACAGCCTGCATGCAGGTGGATGGGAGGAAGGGTGCCAGGGTGTGGAGGGCCGGTTGCCAGATCCCCACCCACCTACCTCAGTTCTGGAAACAAAGTACAGTACAGAGGACACCATTCACACAGCCCTAAGAACGCGTGAAATCCCAAATTGCTCTAGTTCCTAGAATAAAATTATGGTGATTTTTCTCTTTACTCCCCCCCCCCCCTTGTCTCCTTGCCTTCAAATTCCTCTCATCCCTTTTTTCTGTCTTTC